ATCCATTTTAATGATAGCATACATTATGGTTTCTCAGCCTCAGAGCTATATGGACACCACCAGGGTGACAAACCAGGTGGAGTAGAAGAGGGACTGATCTGCAAACAGAAACAGAAGAGATAGATACAAAGGCACATGGAAAATGGTGGCCCAACAAATTTCAGTGTTTTTGTCAGAAGCACTAGCAAAATATATGATTACAAATAGTATTGATTGTAAAATAAATATTGAGTTTGTCCAACAATTATAATAGATTTTCTGAACAGGTACAGAAATATGGCTCAAATGTAAGTTGCTTTGTTTTATGTTTAGGGGCCAAAATACAGAATTATGGAGACAAGGACAATTTAAACCATTACCAGCTGTGGGCTTACAGGTAGTCCTCAGTTATGACTACAATTGGAACTGGAACATCGTTCACTAAGTAAGGTGATCTTTACGTGAGCCACCTTTTTGCTGCAGTCTTAAGTGAATCAAGTGTCATTAAGTGAATCCAGCTTCACCCCTTGATTTTGTTTATGGAAAGCTGACTGGGAAGGTTGCAAATAATGATCACGTGACCCCAAGACACTGCAACTGCAACTGTCATAAATACATGCCAGTTGCCTAGCATCTGAATTTTGATCATGTGACCATGAGGATGCTGCAACAGTAGTAAGTGCGAGGACCAATCATAAGTCACTTTTTTCAGTACCGTTATAACTTCAAACTATTGCTAAAGAAATGGTCATAAGTCGAGGACTAACTGTAATGGAATGCTTGGTTATTAATAAAAGCAAAGAAATCCTTGTGTCAGATACAAGCCACCAAGACATGATAGAAGCAAGGATAAAAAGCAGACTTTGTGAAAATCCTAGAAATGTAAATGAAAATATATTTCTACTTGTCAAAGTATTTTATATCATCTTAAATGTTAATTGCTCAACAGAGAGCTGTGACAGAGATGCTTGATTTGAAACATTATGAATTCAAGATACATATAGCAATCTTTGAGCTTGCCTTGGCTTAAAGGAAGGCTTTCATTTGCCTCCATTTTATTGACCGTCATACCATTTTTATAAAAAGGGATAGGTTATTTTTAAAAATCAAAGCCAGTGCTGTGTGGCTTATCCAAAATTTCACCATAATTCTTAAAACTGCCCCCAACAACTATGTCATTCAAAGTCCTTGTTTCTACAGCCATGAAGACTATGGTTATGGTGTTATCAGTATTTCCCAGAGACCCAGGTAGCTCTATGCACACATTTCTTTTCATTTGGCCAGTGATGAAAATAATGGAGTTCTTCAATGGCCAGCACTGACAAGTGATCATCACTGTATTGGACCAAGATCCCAATATCAGGACAAGAATGTCCTGTGAAAGGAGTTCCACCACACATTCAGCTCAGGTTTTGCAAGATATATAACAAGGTCTGTACGTTCTGGGGGAAAATTTATTGGGGAAGCAAGGAAGCAGGGCTAATTCAATGGTTCTGCCACTTGCCTTTGTGCTGGCTGATGTGCTTAATTCAGATCAAGGTCATTTGCAATGTTCCAGAATATGCTGAGAGTAAAACTTCTGATTTGTGTATAGTTGTCATCCATAAAGAAAATCCTTTATCTTTTTTTTTTTTTTCAAGATATAAATTTTATTATTTTTATCATAAAAAAAACACATCACAAGTACATCACAATGCAAAAAAAAACAAAACCCCACCCCCCACCCCCCACCCCCCGGACTTCCCAAACCTTATCCCAGGATACTATAGTTGATTTTCATTTGATGATAATTATAGGGATTGAGGTGTTTTATAATAAGATGTATTCGTCCACTTTATACATTTTTTTCTTTGTTTAATAGATTTTCGGATCTAATATAAGGTGGTAAGATACGAACAAAAGAATATAAACAATCCATCTTCTCCATATTGATAAAAATTGTTCATTTGAGTGATTCTTCAAATAAACCGAAATTTTTGCCATTTCAGCAAGATGCGAAACCTTCAATCTCCAGTCCACCATTGTAGGTAAAACTTTACTCTTCCAATTTTGAGCTATCAACAAACGGGCAGCAGTTAAGAAAATCCTTTATCAATCCCAACTATTGTTGCCTCTTGCTGAAGGTACTTCATTGGCCTTTTAGGGAAAGAAAACATGATGGTGGAGGATACTATTCCGTTTCCTCATTCCCACCACTGTTGCAGCTTGGAGCAGCAGGTAAAAGCCATGACCCCAGGCAGAACTATAGGACCGGAGGGATGGAAAAGATGTACCCCATCTTGGCTTATTATGTTCTTTATTTCCTACCATTAGTTCTTGATGTCAGATTTATGCCTGTAACAACTCACTCACTCATTTGATTTGTAAGCTATTGTCAAAAATTTAAAATAATTCTCTTAAAAAAAATACAGCATATCTCCAAATGCAACCACAAATGCAAGGCATGAAACAGCTTCTGTTTTAAAAACACAGCATTTGATACTTGCTTTTATACCATTTGTGGAAACGTGAAAATAATCCTCTAGAACAGAAGAGGAGAGTGGATCTCCACCACCCCTCCCCCTGTCCTGAAGGGGGAGCAAAATGAGTTGAACCCAAATCCCTGCCAGAATGATGACATTTTTGGAAACATCAAAGGGAAATGAATTGCAAGCACTCAAGATATTTTTTCTTATGTCATGCCATTTTTTCACTTCTCATTTGTGAATTTCTATGAAACTCCTCTTGCAAGAACAATTTCATAAGCTACTTTGAGACATGGCACGTTTAGGATATTTTTCAGCACTTTTACTCTACATGTTTACTATTAGATAGGATACTTTTACTGGGGTATGGTCCCATGAAATAAATAGATTAATACATCATCTTAAAGACAGGACCATATAACAGCATCATTCCTTGACCATTGTATTTACTATCCCTAAATTTGGTTGAAGCTTTTTCTAAAAATCAGATATGAGAAACATAGCCAGGTAATGATAATCACACGGCAGCCATATAAGTAGCTGCATTTCTCCTTCCTTGCAGCTGTGCTAGATTACAGATTACAATCTAACAATTTAAATAATATTCTGAATGTTATGAAATCAAGCACCTTCAGTTATTCATTTCTGCTTCCCCCACCTCATGTGTACTTTTAAATTGCCAGGGAAATGTATTGCATATAGTATATTGTATATACTATGTTGATAGGCCCAAAATGATAAGATATGAATTTTTGTTTGGTTAGAAAGAATTGCAAACAGAAAGGATTGTTTAATATGCTGCTATAAAGTTGATTATGTGCCATAAAGTAGATTATAGATCATAATGTGTGCTCATGACATGGGAAATATTAATTCTATTAGTTTTTACCTTTTTGTTTAAAAGTGCAAGTTTTAATTTTGTGTTTCTGAAGGAACAGTGTATGCTGTGTCCTTAAAAATAATCCTTATCTAACTCCCTTTTTAAAAATTGTAAGGGAAAGGTAGAGGAAGATGTTGAGCAATAAAAAACAACCCATTGACTAGATCTAGCGGTTCTCAACCTATGGGTTGCGACCCCATTTGGGGTCGATCGACCATTTCACGGGGGTCGCCAAGCAAGGCTGTCTGCCATTTTTTTTGTCCGCCATTTTTTTCCCTTTTTCCGGCGGGTGCCTTACCTCCCTTGGGCTGGGCCAGCTGGTGGTCGGCCTGCTCTGTCTCTGCCGTTTGCCAGCTACGCCTCGGCCGGCGCAGGGGGTGGAACCACGCATGTGCGATGCTCCCGGGCAGGGAAAGTCCTTGACTTACGACCAGTTGGGTAGTCCTCGACTTACGACCGGTTTAGTCCTCGACTTACGACCGGTTTAGTCCTCGACTTACGACCGGTTGGGGGTCACGGCATTAAAAAGGTTGACTAGATATTCAGGTTTCCTTGTACAATCTGTCTCTCTTCCTTTTTAAAAATATTTAAAAATATTTAAGGAAGCAAAATTTTCCTCTAGACCAGGGGTTTCAAACTCACAACGTCACATGACGTGTCACGATGTATTACGACTTTTTTCCCATTGCTGGCAATGGGGTGGGTGCGGTTTCAGCATGACACATCCGGCCCATGGGCCAGCAGTTTGACACCCTTGCTCTAGAGTCTAGACAATGTGAAATGCCAGGGAGCACCCATCCATTGAAATTTTCTACTGACTGTGGAGTTGCTGGAAATCTTGCAATAACCATCGTAATCTATAGTAGCAGTAGGAAATGCTTTCAAAGAAACATTTTGGGACTGTTATCATACATCACTGCATATATTATCTCATCAATATACAGTATGGGCCTGATAGGTCTGTTTTATATTCCTTTTGATGGGTGAGTGGTATCTGGTCTATCATTCCTATACTGTCATCTCCACCCCTACCCCCCCATTTGTAGCCTGCAGTGCTATGCAAAGGTGTGGGGAATAAATTCAATTTAATTTCCCTGCAGTGTTACTTCCTCTGTTTAGTTGTGTATCCTTTCTACTTCATTGCTTCGCTGCTGTTCTTTGGAAATGAAGCATTCTCACCAACAAAGAGCAGGAAGATGCATTACTATAGCTAGCACATAGGCTAGCTGAGTTATATAATAATCATTGCCGTATAAGAAGCTACTAGCTGTGGTCTTTTCTTCCAAAGGGTTAGAATGTCAGATACGGTAAACGCTTTTCTTTTAATCTCATCTCACAACATCTAAATTATTTAGAAGTAATGAAGGCTTAGAGAAAAAAAATATACAGATAAAGTATCCTTCATACTGAACTCAACTCCTGTGGACTTCATAGACATACATCTCTGAGTAGTTGACAGAAATGATCTGACATTGCCTTCTTCTGGGACATTTTGTTTTCATCTTTCCAGATTTAACACTAACAAAGCATACCCAGAAGAAAAACTGACAACTCCCCCTTCTCATATTATAATGATATCCCATGTTGTAGCTTTCCCCCCTCTTCCTCTCTATAGAACAGTTCTTGCAGAAGCCCATAAAGATGATCATACAAGAATAACAAGACACTTAAAAAAATTCTGAACAAGAAAGTTTTATTAAGTCATATCCTCATAAATATTTACATAGAAAGTTCCCCTTTGTTTTTCCCTAGTAAAACAAGTAGCAGAATTGGAAATTTTTCTATAATATAAAAATAAAGTGCTTCTGTTTCTGTAGAGGCTGATAGCACAACTGTTCCAGTTTATTTACAAGGTTATCAGTGCAATTTCATTGCTCTAACTCAGAAGCCAGTCTAGCTAAATTCAATGGAGTTCTTCCCAAGTGAGTTCATACTGGGTTTTGCCCTAGAAAAGGATGTACCAGGGAATGAAAAGAACCACTGAAAATTATGATATTTACTTCTGAACTGATATCTTCAGGATTGCACTAGCAATTTTTTCACTTCAGGAAAATAATAAACAAATGCTCCCATCCAGCACCTACAATTTATATGAGCACACATAAATTTTGGGAAGCATGTTTGCTCTTGTCTGTGATATGTCTTTCCCACTACTGGTCCATTTTTAACACTGGATTAGAACAAACATGACTACATTGAAAGATACTGTAAAATAAATAGTGCTGTAAAATAGCATTAAAGCCTGTGTCACAGAATATCTAGCTTAAAAGATTTCAATTATTCGTCTGTTCATCATGTGGTATGCCAGGAAAAAAATGCTAATTAAAATGCCTCTTCCTTTCCACAATCTGTAAAGTCAACATTCCATTATTCACTATTTATTCTGTAGTTATTACTTGAAAAATACTTGAGCTCTTTCAAATATGCAGGTATTTAGGAACTCATGTCAGTACAGTACATGCCTTTGAAGTGCTTTCAGAAGATACAGTTGATGATTCTGTAGAAGAGACTTGGTATTTTCCTGTAGAATAAAGAAGTACGGTAATATGGTAAAAGTCTTGCTTAGTGACTTGTATGTACTGTATAAAGCACAAAAGGCCTAGTTGCCATTAAACATTAACTGCTTTTTGAGCTTAAGAGGAAACCAAAGAAAACAAGAATAAGCCTGCATAAGATATGTAGGTTAAAATATCTAAGGTTTATAGTAAATTCTAAATTCTACATAGTCCTCTTTGATTCTTAGCAGTTGCAATCAACAACTATTTTCAATTTGCTTTCCAGTGTTACTGCCTGACTTTTGAGTGTGATAGTAAGAACCATATCTAGGAAATGCTCAAGGACGATACCCACATGGATTAGCCTGATGGGCCTCATATGGGGACCAATCAAAGAGTTAGCTCTGAAGAAGTTACCTAGTTAGGTAACAAAACATCTGCAAGCAAACAACCAAGTTCAGAGAGCACCAAGGACTTCTCATATCAAGGAGTCAAACCAGAGAATCATTTTATTATCTTTAGATATTTTCCAGACATAACTGCAGTCATAAGATACTGAAGTCTCAGAGATCCAGTATTTAGGATGGATTGTTCATTTAAAATGAACATTTATGTTGAATGTATTTATATAAATAACTCAGAAGGCAAATTGTATGGACATTTCAGAGTTACCAAGCCTAGAGTTTGGACTATTTGGATCTTTAATGATTTAATGAGGTTTTTATGCTTTTAAAGGCAATTCTATAAATGGTATAAGAATTCTTTAGCAGTATAAGAATTAGGAATTTGGCTGGCCTATATAATATATATTTGGGGACAGAGATGATGAAAATAAATATAGAATAGCAACAATGGGAAATGGATTGATGTCATATTTTTTCATCACATACCTGCTTTACCAAACAAATTATTTAAAGTTCTTGAAAAAGGTGAATTGATGGAAAGCATAGGAGCTGACATGCCTTGCGATATTGACTGCAAAAGGGAAATATATATTAACAAAAAGATATAGTGAGATTTTACCAAAACATGTGCTTGTACATTTTAATTTTGCCAACAATATACACAATTAGAAATAAATCTCTTTCAAAATAATTGCTTTTACTTTCAAATTAGCATGGATTAATTTGTTTTCTTCATCTCCCAATTGCAGAAATAAAGTGTCAAATTCTATTCATGATTCACTTGCAGAGGTGAAAGGCTATCTTTGAATTTAAATCCTTCATGCACTGCTATAGCTAAAGCTGTATAGAATGGCCTCTTTATCGACACAATCATTTTCTCCATGTAGAAGGATGTCTTTGAATCCAACCCTTTATTTAGAAAGAATATTACCTTTGAGTGTTGTGAACTCCACTTGGACCAAGAATATTTATTCAGCATAGCTTCTCGTACCTATGTGTTTCAAAGAAAATGAACGTTAATCATGTTGTAGTAGCATGTCTTGTATAAATACAATTTTATTACACAATGAAACAATAAACATAAAACAGTAAATATCTTAAAACTGTGTTCCTACCTTCCTATCCCAGAGAGTTCCACCCAACAGAATGAATAATCCCTGAAAAATATTAAAAGATTGAAATTACATATTTCAGTTCTTACCCCTGTACATAAAGCATTCCATAGGCTTGATTCCCCACTAGTATCACAGAGGAAAAGGTATGAAATATGAACAGTATGAAGAAAAATAGCCCATTTCAGTGTACAGAAATTGCAAACAGTCTAAGACAAAATTTAAAAGAGCTGATAACCAAAAGATTGATCCATACTAAAAACAAAGTTTGGTTGCAAATTTTCAAAAAAGAAATGGGTGTTCTGATCGCTCCCTGGTCTGGAATATTCAGAAACAACAAACTATCTGAGGGCAGGTAGCTAGGAATCAGGAAAAGAGAAAATAATTCCCCACAGTTTTCAAGACTCAGAGATCAGAAATGCTACTTTGTTTATTTATTTTTACGCACTCCAGATCCCATTTTGTTCCCTCACTGATTCGTTTAGTTTTGTCTTAGACTAGCAAAGTATACAACAATTAAAATCCACAGAGATAATTATGATTATTTATTTTGCAAACCAAAATTCTAGAAGCATGCAACTGAACTTTGTTTATAGGTCTATTATTTATTTATTTATTCAAATTTATTAATTTTTTATGTCACCTATCTCACTGATACAGCAACCCTGGATGCTATTAGCTTTGTCATTTTCCAAAACTCATGATTCTTCTATAGGATGGGGATATTAATGACATCATTAGATTGCATGTTATGGAAAGAGCTGCTTGAATCACCCCTCAGTTTAGATTAAGTATGTATTATAAGGCAGAAAAAATGTCAATGATGTTTTTGACATCTAACTATTCCAAACAGCTGATATTATCAGTCCAATTACCTGAAAGGCGTTGAAAATAGTAAATAATATCTGGAATATTTTGGGGCTTCCTGGAACAACTGTGGCCAGTCCAAATCCCCAAGTAAGACCTAGCAGCGGTGTCAGTACACCAATGCTCTTGGCAATTCGATACAAAGCACTCTTTTCTTCATTGATGGACTTTTCCCCAATTGAACGTCTTGATATTTTTGCTATAACTACAACAGTAACAATAGCATTAATGGCAACAATGATCATGGCAGGAATCACTAAGGCCAAGAGGGCTTTGCTTTCCTCCCAGTTGAGAAAGCAGCTCTTTTTCCTTGTGTAAGAGGAATAAGGGAGGGTGCTGGCTATTGTGATGGCTGATATTATTAGAGGACAGATGTATCCCAAGCAGAAGCCAATGGTTTTCATAATGGTCTTGCTTGCATTGTGTAGAAGAAAGACCAAGTGGTAGAAGAGCATCAGTCCCAAAGTGAGCATCCAAAAGAAGACACAGAGGTAGAAATAGTGAACGAAATAAGTTGCTACTATGCAAAGATTTCCATCCACTGCATAATTTTGGTCATGTGTTGCAGCAACAACAATGAAGCAGATATCTGCACTCAAGAGAGAAACTGCAATGTTCAGAATACAAACATGGCGCATGTACGCAATTCTTGTTTTAGTGACTGATTTCCACACAAGCAGTTCTATTCCAAGGCAAATCATCAGGCTCAGTATAGAAAGGCTCAGGCCAATGTAAGTGATATAAGTCATTTCATCCAGTGAGGTTTCCTGATAGGGAGACATGAGCATGGCAAAGGAAGTTGTGTGATTGCAGGTGCAAATGACACTGTCCCCATCATCCTTAGTTTCACAGCCTGTAGTATCCCAGTCTCCTTCTTCTGCCAGACTGAAATTCCAAAAGACACATTGTGGATTGCTCATGGCCTTTTCACGCTTCGCAAAAGCCATTTTGATCTGGAAATCCTCATTTGTTTGGGGATTTATTACTGTCGCCATTACCAAACTATTTACCATTTCCTTTCTATACTGTGGAATGATAGATTGAATTGTTGAATAAGCCACACTGACTATTGTGATTGATTTCTCAGTATCAAATTTTACATCCTCAATAAGCACACTTCCCCTGAGGCCTGCAGACTGGAGAAAAGCAAAGCTGCTGTTATAAATGGAGGTACTGCTTTTGCCAAGAACTGTTCCTTTGATTTGAAGACTGTCCTGTATGATTGAAGGAACAGACTGGTTAATTGGCTGGAGTGATCCTAAAAATTGCTCTACTGAAGCAAGTAATTGAGAGCTCCCATTCTGTACATGCTTCCAAGTTTCTGTTGGACTGGTGATAATAGTTTCTACAGTAGACCCAAAGTTCTGCAAAAAAAAAAGGTGGGGGGGAGAATAATAACTCTTTTTAATTACAGGTTGCATTAGAGAATCCTCTTCCTGTCAGTTTATCCCAATCCACTTACCAACTTCCAACACAAAGAGCCTAGTGCTGAAGTATAAAATTCTTCTCACACTTGAAATGTGTTATTAGGTTCAGATATGATAGTATATTATAACAGTGGGGAATTATATGAAGGATTAGCCATTAAACTCTATTAGCATCAGCTAGGCATCTATGAGTAAGGGTCTACATAAGATCCCTAGTGATATTTAATTGTTTCTCCATCAAAACGGGAACTTTGCTCTAATTTTTATCATGAATTTATCATGAATTTAACATGATCCTCCCCAAATTATCATCATATCATAGTTATTGTAATTTCAAATGACCTACAGTATTTCAAAAAGGAACATTAAATAGAAAATAATTATAAACACAAAAATCCTATACAGTGCCCTCAATTTGTCAGTCCCAATCAGGGAGCTTTGACCCACCCAAAAAAATATGTTTGTGCATGACCCATTTGTGTATCGCTAGGCACATATATATGTGTCCATATGTAACCACCAGAAATAGTACTCCTCAAAAGGGCATGGCCAGAAAAAAAGAGAAAGAAATGTTATTAAATCAATTTGAGTTTCAGTAAAGTTGGCACAAACCAACTGAGCAGTTGGAAATTATTGGAGAAAATATTGAAAAGAAGCTCAGTAGACCTGGGTAAGAAAAGCTGGTTTAAAAAGTCATGAGGACTGACTCCTTCTGTAGACAGCCTAAGACTTTTCAGGCAAGAAAAAAAGTATTATAGTGTTCCTTATGCTGCTTTCAATACTGATACTAACTCTCTTCATGAATATAGCAAGAAAAATACCCCCAAACCATACTTACTGCCATATTCTCTTCATTCGCCTCTACTGGTATGGCTGATATCAAAGTCACGGTTTCAAGAACAGCATTTAGGTTTGCAGCAGAATTGTTTATTTCCTCCTGTGTCTGCTTGGTGGTTTCTTTCAGTTTTTTAAGGAATGATGGCAACTTTTTCTGGGACTCTGGACTGGAGGCCAAAGACTAGAATTAGAATTAAACATGTTAAAGACAAATTAGATGACATGGCTGGATCATCAGCTAAACTGAACAGCTTTGGCTGAATGAATGTTGGGAACTCTGCTTGTGACATGGTAATGAAGGCACAGCCACTTAGGTTTCTTCATTTAAGTCAGTACTGGCGAACCTATGGCACGCGTGCCAGAGGCGGCACTCGGAGCCCTCTCTGTGGGCATGCGCACCGTTGCCCCAGCTCTGCCTCCCCCCATGGCCCCCTCACCAGTAGCCCCCCTGGAGGAGAGGCACCCCCGGGTGCGGCTTGCACAGAGCAGCGCAGCCAAGGACATAGCCGGGCAGCAGGGACAAGACTCCGCCCTCGTGCCTCATAGCGTGCAGATGATGCTGTGGGGTGTGGGCGGAGGGTGTCTGCAGGGCTGCCTGGGTGGGCCATGGAGGTGGTGCGTGGTCCTGCGGGCGGGTGGGGCAGGGGGCAGGCAGGGGCAGAGCAGGCAGGACAGGAGGCGGAGCGGGGGCAGAGGGCGGTTTTGGAGCACTCGGTCTCTAAAAGGTTCGCCATCACTGACCTAACTTATCCAATTGCCACTGAATGGGACAAAGAGACATTCCGCTTTGAAGAAGTCATAGTAATTTACTGCTTTTTCCTTCTTGGGCTAAAGACCGGCTGGAGGTGGGAGAGTTAAAGCAGGTTGGTTATAACATTAAGAGCCACAAGTCATAATGTTTTGTCCTTTCCTGCCCAGAGTGGCCATGGTGTAATTAAGACAGAGAAAATAATATGTGTTCATGGCTCAGGATAGGGCTGGTGACTCTGTCCTAGCTTTCCTGAGTCTCTCAGCAAATTTTGATACTATCAGCCATAGTATCTTGTTGGACTGGCTCTGGGGATTAAGAGTAAGAGACACTGTTTGGCAATGGTTCTCTTTTTCCCTGTGGCTGGTACCAGACAGTGTTGGTGGGGAAGGAGAGGTCAAGTCCCAGATTCCTACTATGTGAGGTGCCTCAGAGCTTGAGTTTCTCTCCCCTTCTATTTATCTATATGAAGCCATCAGGAAAAGTTATCTAGCAGCTTGGGATGTGGTATCATTAGTATGTTGATGCCGGGCAAAGGATGCTGTTCAGGTGCTGGTTCAGTGCCTGGAGATTATGTAAGGGCCTGGGAGGGGAGAAACTAGTTGCAATTCAATCCCAGAAAGGTGGAGTGGTTACGTAGCTTTGGTCCCTTGGAGTCAGGACAGTTGGTATCTCTGACTCTGGATGGAGTAATACTCCTCTGGACAGGTCTGGGGTGCAATTTTGGGGTCTTCCTGGACTTTTGGCTCCTGCTAGAATGGCAGGTGGCAGCTAGGAACAGGGAATCCTTTGCACAAATTCATATTGTCCACCAATTTCACCCATTCCTGGGAGATTTTGCTTATGGTCATTCCTGCCTTAGTCACCTGCCATTTAATTTACTGTAATGCATTCTACATGGGGCTGCCCCTGAAGACCATCCAGAAACTGCAACAGATTCAGAATGCAGCAGCCTTATAGTTCACTTGAGTTCACCACGACTGTGTGAGCTTCACTGGCTGCTTCTGGGTGCACTCAAAGTGCTGGTTATTATCTTTAAAGCCCTACATGATATAGGGCCAGATTATTTGTGGGACTACCCCATCCTGAAGGTATATACTATACTAAGTTAGATAGGAAGGGCATGCTTCAGATCCCCTCCTTTAAATGTTGTCACCTGATACGGTATGCCTTCTCAATGGTCACCCCAATCCTAAAAGGTTAGTGGCTAAGATCTGAGGGATCCCTATCCTTTTAGCCTTCCTCCAACATTGAGCTAGGATGAGGGTTAACCTGGGAGGGTGTTTGGCCTGTCAACTGCAGAGAAGGGTGTTTTTGTTTGTATTTCTGTTTTTCTTGTTTTGAGACATCTAGAATCATTTCATGAGATAGGCAGCTGTATAAGTTTTGTAAAAAAATAAATAAATGATATGTTAATTAATCCTTAGAGAAAGCATGATAATGAAACTCTGCTTTTTAACTCACATGGAATACAGAGAATGAGAAGGACAAAGCTGAGCTCAACTGATGAATCAGGCAATAGTCTAATCTAGGACAGAATTCCAGCACACTCTTCAAGAAAGTGGTGGTATTTCTTGGCATATGCAAATATATGTAAATATATTACTGATATATATGTATGCATGTATGTGTATGTGTATATTTTAAAGCCAAATTAATGAAATATCTATCTGTCTGTCTGTCTGTCTATCTATCTATCTACACACAAACATACAAGCTCACTTTGCTGAGGTAAAGGTAGTCCTTAAATTATGACCATTTGTTTAGTGGCCATGCAAAGTTACAACACTGTTGAATGAAGGAAACTTAAAATGTTGCAGTATATGTGGTAGGGCACTTTATGGCCATGTTGTTTAGTGATGGCAATTTCCATTCCACCTGCCATCAGAAACCAAGAACAACCTGTGTTGTCCAGCTATTCACAGACTGTGGAATAAGATGGAAAATGAGTCTATGTTCATGGCTATTGATCAAAGGCTACTGGGACTTTGAACTTCCTGGACAACATCAGTAGAAGACAGAATCAGTCCTCCCTGTAAGGCAAAAAAACACTTGGTTCTAACAACCAGGTTGGAGAACTAAAGGGAAGCTCACTCATCCATTGACCTCAATTCTCAGAGCATCTTGTTTCAGTAGACCTCAGATCCCCTGACTTGGCCTGGGCTCACTATGCAGACTGAAGCATAATTACCTCAGCAGAATTCAAAATGTCATTGATGGGGCCGGCCAGGCAGTCATTTCTATGAACAGTCCATTTCGTACGATCACATCTATAAGTGATGTTTCCTCTCACAGAGTTACTCGTCCTATGGAAATTTAAGCAAGGCTTTATGATCTGCTCTTCATTTGCTCCCACACCAATGTCTGAGGAATTGCACACCACATTCTTTGCTGTGGGGGAAAAATTGGTTTTTAAAAGTTACATCTTGCTTTCTGAGACAGGTGCCTACTTACAAATATATAGAACTAGCTCCTGTTCATCAGGAATAAGAGATCATCCATTGCATGTATAAATAAAATCTGCTTCTTACTACACTACAAAAAAACTGTTTTTAACTGAGAAATCCTGTGGTTTATTCCAATGAAAGTATGCGAGGAGTTGCAGATCATGGAGAATTTAAAGGACAGTGGCTTTTTAAAGGACACAATTATGTAGGATCTCCAATTTGGGAGGAAAAAGAATATGTCTTCAAATTAATATTTCTGTTTTCCAGTGAAGAAGTACAGAACAAGATACTTTTGGAACAGAAAAAAATATCTCCCCCATTTTTCTACAGTGTGAAAAGCAGAGTCTTCAGACTCAGAGAAAAATGCAAAATGTACAAGACATGAACAAATTATCTGTTATCGTCCTCCTGTTATCTTTCAAACAAACTAGTTCCTACTAGGATCAAAGCAGATAATCCTATGTTATAGTAAGATTGACTTGCTTGCATTAGTGACTGATTTATGCAATGGCATTCTCTTTTACCTGATGCAAAATATAGGACCATAGCTGGACTTGTCACATTATGGTTGATTTGATTCATAAACATACAATGCACCTGCAGAGCACGTCCTTTGGGATTGCAGTGTATGCCTGTGAAACTTGGTATGGAATAGTAGCAGTTGAGATTATTTCTTCTTCTTCTTTCTGTAAAGGAACACATTATTTAAGTTGGGGTTAAGGTTTCAAAATCCAGAGTACGAAGCTAGTCTCCCGCCCTTAATCTAGACATTAGTCAGGTTTATTAAGATATATATATATTCATATCTAGTTAGTGAAGACATTTTGTGTTAAATCTCTGAGAAAACAACTTTTTAACTGTTTGTAAAAGTCTTGACAGCTTCAGTCGAGACTCTGAGAGCTTAGATCCTGTTTCATCCAGTCACCTTCTATAACTTAGACTCCTGATAATGGAGAATATTTGTAGCTCAGGGTTGAAATGAGGGTTCCTTGGTGCTCTCTGAGCTTGATTGCTTTCTTGCAGACATTTCATTACCCAAACTAGGTAACTTCGTCAGTGAGAGTAAGGAATGGGCACGCTTACTAGCACAGATGATGTTACTTAGTTTGGATAATGAAATATCTGCAAAAAAAACAACCAAGCTCAGAGAGCACTAAGGAACCCTTCACATAGACCCCCGATACAGGTTTTTCCTTCAGTACTAATCAATATTAGGGAATTAAGAATGTGGGGATCACTAAGGGAACTGGTGCTGAATCTCAGATTACTCAACCCCCTACTACAAAGCTTTGGGACAGTGTTTCTCACCCTTGCCAACTTTTAAGATGTGTGGACCTCAACTCCCAGAATTTTTCAGCCAATATGAATTGAGAGTCACCCATGTGAAAGCTGCAATGTTTGAGAAACACTGATGTAGAAGCAAACTGTGCTTTTCATGGTTGCATTTGACCTTGCCATACCCCCGTTAAGTTTTCAAGAGAATGGATATCTAGCTATTCATCAATAGCCTTTCTTCCACCCAGCCTATAATTGCTTACCTGCCCTAATGGGTAAAGGCGTATTGTGATCATGAGAAAAAAAATAAACAGTGTAGGTTTCCATTCGGCTTGTACAGCATTCCAGAATTCTTGTTGCTGGACAAGAAATGACAGTCTCTATGGGATCTCTTATGATCTCTTGAGGCCGGAGCAAAGGAATAACTTTAATTGTTATATTTCCAAAGCTGCTCAAAAAACGTTGGGAAAAGTTGCACGTATAGATGCCTAGAACAATAAAACCAGCAGGTTTAACAAATGCAATATTAAAGAAATTAACAACAGACACATTTAAAGCAGCAGCCACTACCATTAAAGTCCTCTAAAATCAAGCAATAGAAATGATTGAAAAGGCACTTTAGTGAACATCTTATTTCATTGATCAAATTATTTTTCTCATGAATGGGATGGCTAAGTGAAATGATTCATATCTTTACTCACCAGTCCAGTCCTGGTTTGCCCTAGGTACAGTCAGCACAGACGTGGCACCTGTGAGGCTCTTTGTGGTGGTGTACCACATACTAGCTATTTCCTTAATAGTCCTGCCATTTTGAATTTTCCAAATTACTGTGTCATAATTGCTCACATCACTCTGGCATGTTAAAAAGAAAGCATCTCCCTCAGAAACAATATCCTTTGAACTTGAAATGGTTATTTTTGCTGGTGAAACACAAAATAAAGAGAAATTATTTAGTATTTCATTATGAGAGCAGCATTACCAAAGAGACTTATTGGAGAATTGTGTGATATGCCTTCCTAATATGAAGATTAGTTCTCATATGTTAGACTTTAATTCTTCCATACAACACATGTTCTAATCTTTTATTGACCATTCTGGATCTCAGTCTTAAAATGTTTTGCTTCCATCATTTGCTGTGTTCCTTAGCATGGTTTAATAAAGTATTTTTCCTTGTATCTTTAAAACAGCTGGCACAAAAATATTTGTTTACACTATCTTGTTAATGGCTGTGGGAAGTTTTTGATGTCTGCAGTCCAGAATGTTTCACCATACCTAACAAAGTTTCAATAGCAGAAAAGTTGGAAATCACCCTCTTCCTCCTCCTCCTCTCTCTCTCTCTCTCAAAAAAAAAAAAGCAGAAAAAACTCTCCTCTATAATACCAGAAGGACAAAAAGGATACAACACATATTTTCAAACAATCTGTGGCCAGAAAAGCAATGTGAAATGAGATGAAAGGCTATATGGAGAATTGTATGAGTCAAGTCTATCAAAATTGTATGAGTCAAGTCTATCAAAAATTTAAGAGCAAAGTCTAAAATGAGCAGCTAAAGTTTGAAGAACCTTTAGAATCCAATGGAGGAACTGAACAAGCTTTCCATGGGACAAAGTCTGGCACTACCGTGTCACGAAAGAACCCCCTTCTTGCTTTCCCGGGATCCTGGTCTCTTGCTACAAACTTTGTACAGTTTAATTTTGTTCACATTCATTGATAGTCCATCCCCGAAACTGCAGCCTAGCTAGAAGCATTTATGCAAAAATGCTAACTTCAATACTGTATTCTAAATCTAGTACTACAGATTTTCTCAGATGATTACTAAATCCATCCACACAGTCAGAAAACAGGTGCTACATCCAAAAGAGATGCTTACCCACACGAAAATATGTCACTTTGATTATTTTATTGGCACGAGCACCATAGGTGGTATTTAGCTCACATGTGTAATCAGTGCTGGTGCCAGACTTGTCTACTGGGCACTGAGATTCACTAGCCTGTAGCAAGTAGGTGGTACAGTTGTTCATAGAAGTAGTGCTTCCTGCAAAGAAAAGCAATCAATCTGAAAAAAAAAAAAGATTGAAGAAAGGCCGCTACTTGAAAGAAAACTACGTAGTATCTGAGTTTCTGCCTCCTATAGCAGTTATACATTGCATGCAGTGGAATTATGAAGAAGAATGGAGGAAGAATTTGTATGTTGTTGTGGTGGTTAAATTTATATCCCACCTTTCTTACAGAGGCTCAAAGCAGTATACATGGTGCTCATTCTTCATTTTTTTCCTCAACAAAAACCTGTGAGATGGGTTGAGCTGAGAATTATGTTCCCTTTACTGAACATTGCACACACAGTAAAAGGCTGAGTGCACGCGACTTCCGGTGGCAGGCGACTTCGTCAGTCGCAGCTGTTTGCTGCCTCCCGCCTGTTTCGCGTAAAAGCCGGTTTGACAGCCAGCACCAGCTGTCAAACGGCTTGATACCTTTCCCCTGGGCATAAGGGGATAGGTGAGCTGCCCGGGGTAGGAGTTGAGTTCCCGAGTCGTCCTATATGGACGATGTAGGTGAGAACTCCTCCGGAGCCCCGAGGATTCTCCGCG